CAACGCTTCCCTCTGATACTTCATCACGTTGGCATGAAGGTTTGAGTATGATGGGCTATGCGAGAGCCCATGAGCCCCCCTCACCCCGATGTGGCGCTCTGCTTGCGTCTCCTTTCCCGGCTGCTTAGCGACGTCTCGATTCGGCGTTCCAAGCTCGGCTTTTTAAAACGCCTTGGGCGCGGAACATAATGCAAAGATCCAAAGTTCGTCTGTTTGTTTGACAAACAGACGACAGATCCTACACAGATTTTGACTGGCAGCTTCAGAAAGTACGGTGCTGATTAAAATATTGCCCGAGAGTCTGCGAAAATTAGTTGCAGATCTGGGATAAACACTTACATAGTGAACGCAATTTCGACTGAAAGCCATTGGCCAAACGCTTTGATTCAGGCGGTTGCCAAAAGCTAAATTTGTGCCTAAAGCGCCTGGCATCAAAACGACTCCCCCACCACTAGGTCTTCTGGGTCCCCTTCGAAAGCAAGTGGCTCGTCGAAGAGCGGTCGTATCTCCGCGCTGGCCATCTGCCTGGGGCTGTGGCCACGGCTGTTGGGGATGTCCGGGTCAGCCTTGGCAGAGAGCAGCAGGGACGCCAAGGGCCGATTTCCCAGGAGCGCTGCAAAGCCTAAAGGAGTTGAGCTGGACTCGGCCAGGTACCGAAGCAGGGGGCCATCCATCCCACAGCAGTTTGCCAACCTCGAGCCCATTTCCAGCATCCGAAATAGGCCCGTCGTGCAGCCCGGCTGGTTCACGTCCGCCCTCGCATCGAGCAGCAGCTGAGCATGAGCGAGACTCACCCGGGGGGTGGTCTTTGAAAACAGTGTCGTGCATTGCAAGGGTGACTTGGAGTGACCACCGTGGGAGTCGTTCACGTTCGCCCCTCTTTCCAGCAGTCGGGCAACAACCTTCAGTTTGCAACAGACAATAAATGCAGTTCACCTGAGCACAAAACTACTGCTAAGTGAAGCAAAAATACCTTGACTAAGTAGAACCAAGCAGCCTCGACTGGCGAAGCCCTAGCGCAAACAATCGCTAGTGGGCTAACCTTGTGCGGTGCCACGCGCAGATTCGCATCTGCTCTGTGCTGCAGCAGGAAATCCACCGCTTCAGCACTCCTACAAATCCCGAGGGTGGGGAGACCCTCGGGACAGGTGGAATTCGGATCAGCTCGAAGCATGACAAGTGTCTGGGCAGCTGCAAGCCTGTTTAACTGGATTGCCAGAATCAGAGGGACAAAGCTCAAGATGTCCATACTGAGTATGCTCTTGCACTTTGCGCCCACGGAAGCTTTTGCTTCTAAAAGCGGGCGCATGAGGGAAGGTTCATCCAGGACAGCGGCGCAGTGTAACGCGCCCATGTCTTTCATCTTCACTGCTGTCGGCAAGCTTGGAAAGCCAAAATATGACAGAAAAGAGTCCAAAGTCCATGAACTGGCTTGTCCGAAATTCTTCGCACATATTGCTTTGAGAAATCTGCACAATCCGGGCTCTTCTTGATGCTTATCAAGGAATGCCACCCGTGCTTGAAGGGCGATGCGCACAATGTCCTTGATGGCAAGCCGGTCCTCCTCCTCCGTAAACTCACCCTCGTCCGCTGGTGCAAAAACCCAGTCTTTCGGCATCACAAACTCTGCATGATCGCAACTATGGACTGCGATCATGGGCAGTCGGCTGTGGTTGGAGAGCTGCGAACACCACAGTTCGCACCTGCACCAACCGCGGTCCAACCATGTCTCGTAATCGCAGAGTGAGCCGGAATCATGGTGGGGCAGGCATGGAACCAAAGCAACAAAGGCACGGCAAACATCCACATAAGATGGGATCG